TTAGAGACTGGATAGAGATATGGGCAGATCTGTATATGCACAGCCTCATTTTCTACCCTGAACTCTGGACTTTCCATATATCCGACCAAATGCCTGAACAAGATTAGAAGCAGAGAAATTAGACAATTTTGAAGTTTTGGGAAATAATAAACTGTTATATTCAGAGACAAACAAGGCACTTTAAGTTACTGTGCAGTGGGGGTAAAACAAGTGTGACTTTTGATTAATTATGTCATTTCATGCCAAGAATCGGTAAGAACCGTATTTATCTGAAAGGAAGAGTAGGCGGTCTGTGCCCACTTTATTCACTTTATTAGAAGTGACAAACAAAAGAATACATTTTATTTATTATATGTACAAAAAAAATCTCTTTAAAAATTTCCGAACATTTTTGCTTGAAATACAGATAAACAGAAAACTAGCTCTAGGACTATTTTTGAAGGAGTTAAGATTTTTTTTTTTAAACTTGGGGATGGAATAAAACTTGAGGATGGCTTATTTGATCAGGATTAAAAGAGAAAAATAGTTAATCCGATTTCCTTTACTGGATTTTTGCTGATAAAGAAGAATGGTGAAGTATTTTGATTCTATTTTTTATTTACTAGATAAGCTATTTTTTGGGGGGAAGGAGATATTATTTTGTATTTAGATTGGGTTATTAAGATTGCCTTTAGTGGTTGGGTGAAGGGGGAAACTACTACATTTTTTTCCTTTTTTTACCCTTGTTTGTATTACTTGGTATTTTTGTCATTTGTATTTGTTTTTATTCTTTTCATTTATAATTCTTAATAAAATTATTTTTAAAAAGAGAAATGTAATTGTAGGGATAAATAAAATTCAATAGGAAGCGAATATTTATTTACCCAAACAGCTAAAGCATGGGGGGGGGGGGAAATAGTGGGATTGGGAGCAGTCACAAACATTGAGTTTGCTTGTGGGAAGCTGGCCGTGAGTTTTGGAAACCACAATCACATGACCACAGGCCATAGATTTGCAAATAAAACTGGTATGAACATCATGGAAATGTCAATTTCATAGTAATAATATGTCCTGGATTTTTTATGCCTTAATGGATTTTAGGTACTTTGATTCAAAAATTGTTGCAAAATAATGCACAGTTTGGGCCAGCTTGAGGGTGCAGACAGACAAACAGCTAAACACAACGGGAGTGTAATGTATATTTTTTTTTTATATTGTAACTTTCAATATTTAGGTTTATTTTTACTTTTAAAAATGTCATAATCTGTTCTTTTCATTTGGGAAGGTTAATGCTATAGTCGTTCTCTTCCCCCCATGATAGGAAAGCTGGGATATAATAGTAGAGATGGCAGTTCATCTTCCACATGGGGAAGTAATGCCTGAAAAGGACTAGAATGGTTTTTTTCTTCTTCATCTGAGCACTTTCCCCTGCCTTTGTTTTTGTCTCTAGTGCTTACATTTGGAAAAGGCTTATTCCAGATGCACTTGATACCTATTATTAAATAATGTAAAATTAATGTCAGTGGAACAGGTGTTTCTCTTCTTCTATCTTTTTACTACACAGGAAGCTTTTAAAATGCTTTTTTATTTCCAGTCCAAGAATATAAATGTTAAATTGATCTCTTTTTAAAAATAAATCAATCCAGCAACTTGTTGAAAGCACAAGGTGAGTGACCGTAAACCTCCTCTTTTATCATCCCCATCCCTCAATTGTCCAGTCATCTTGTCGGCACATTGCATTTGAATGCTGTCCTTTTAGCTCTTAATTTAATCTTTCTTTCAGTTCATTGTGGTATTTTATTTCCTATACCAGTGATGGCGAACCTTTTAGAGACCGAGTGCTCAAACTGCAACCCAAAACCCACTTATGCATCGTCAGATGCCGGGTGGGTATGGCCCATTGGCTGGGTGTGGCCAATTTGGGGGTGTGTGGCCCATTGGGTGGGCATGGTTGCGGTGGTCACAGCAGACTGGGTGGGACTAAAAAGTTCAATCAATCAATTCCAACTTTGCAAGATCTTTTTTTCCCCGCGAGAAATTGAAATTGACTGATTGATTGAAACTTTTTTTTTTTTGCACATGGCAGTGGAGGCCTAAAGCGAAAAGGTTTTATAAAACCCAGCTGAAGGCCTAGGACTGGGGCAACGGCACGCGTGCCCACAGAGAGGGCTCTGAGTGCCACCTCTGGCACCCATGCCATAGGTTCGCCACCACTGTCCTATACTTTCAGTGTGGATGGAAAGCAGCCAGGGAGTTTTGCTCTCTTTAAGGAATCCTGAAGCTTGGCAGTGCTGTGAGTCACTGATAAGATAATTATGGCAGCAAAAATACTGCATTAAAACACACACACAAACACACATTGTATTGAATGCCAGCAAACTAGGGTGGGATTCTGCACTGCAGCTGTCTCTTTCCCCAAGGTACCATGCCAGAAGTAGTGAAGTTTACCTAAATATATAAAATAAATAAAAATGCTGCACTCATCTTTCTTTCAATATGGATAGGCTCTACATTTCAGTGTATCGTACATTGTAAATATGGATAGGCTCTACATTTCAGTGTATCGTACATTGTAAAGCTAAGACAGGCAATCCTACTCCACCATAGCAATTTTTCAGCTTGGCTCTCTGTCCTTATAAATTTGGTGGGAGAGTGTTGAGCTTTTCTCTGTTACTCAGATTTGAAGTCTTGCAAGCAGAGATTCAAGCATAGAACTTTTTGATAAGCTAGTTGATTATCAATATTAGAAAAACAGTCCTGGAGCAGGAAGCTAGCAATTGCCAGCTGTAAATAAGCCATGTGTGTGTGTGTGTGTGTGTGTGTGTGTGTGTGTGTGTGTGTGTAAACAGTCCCAAGGTTTGAACCTTAACATCTCTTTTTTACTGCCCTAATGAACAGAATGGGTTATTGCTCAAGGAAAAGTTTATTTTATGTATTTGTTTATTGAATTTATATATCTACCCATCTCGCTTGCATGTAACTCTGGCCAGTATACACAATTGAAATAAAAATTAACAATAGAATATAATTCAGTCATCAGCAGATATAAACAGTTAAAGACTATGATAACGAAAAGAAAGAGTGCAGTCCACACATCAATTATTTAACAGGAGCCCCATTTCCATGGGATTCCCAGGCCCAATGGCACAACAAGCTTTGAGGGCCTTGAGGAAGGTCAAGAGAGGTGGGGCCAATCTCACTGCAGAGGGAATGCTATTCCAAAGGGTGGGATCCATGGCAGAAAAAGCTGTCTTCTTCTTCTTTGTTGTTGTTGTTGTTGTTAGTTGCGAAGTCATGTCCTGTCCCCATCGCGACCCCATGTCCAACCCATCGCGACCTTCCTGTCCTCTACCATCTTCTGGAGTCCATTTAAGCTCACGCCTACTGCTTCAGTGACTCCATCCAGCCACCTCATTCTCTGTCGTCCCCTTCTTCTATTGCCCTCGATCTTTCCCAACATTAGGCCCTTCTCCAGTGAGTCCTTCCTTCTCATTAGGTGGCCAAAGTACTTGAGTTTCAACTTCAGGATCTGGCCTTCTAAGCTGTCTTCTTGGGTCCTGCCAAATAAAACTCCTTGGCTGACAGGATACACAATGTGTCCCTCCTGCTGAACCTGATGGGAAGATGTAATTGGGAAGAAGCAGTTCCTCAAAAACCTGTCCCTGTGGCATGTAGGGCTTTAAATGTCAAAAGCATCCCCTGAATTGGATCTGGAAGCAAACTGGCAGTAGTGCAGCTCATGGAGCACAGGGGTACCATCTAGTTTATAACTGCCTGAGCCACTGCATTTTATACCAGCTGAAGCTTCCAGATATTTTTGAAGGGCAGGCAGATGTAGAATGTGCCACGGTAATCCAGGTGGATCAGGTCAAAGTCCATCTTAATCTAGCATTTGTTTTCTCAAAATTGCTATCAAATAGTGCTGGGGTGATTCCAAGCAGGACATTGAGGTCTACCACTCTCTTAATGTTATAACCTTAGAACTTGTATTTGATCCTGACTTAGAGGAAATACTTTTCTAGTTCTTCTTACTCTTTGCATTTTATCCTTTCATAAAAGCAGAAATCTTTTTATCTAATGATCGCTAAGTATGTTTAAGAAGATTTAGTGAAAAGCTAAGGCTTTTTAAATATCCAGGTATGCAGTATAGATAAGAGTTTTATCCAAGTGCCTGTTGACAGCAGGATTTATGCTGATTTTCCTTCAAGAAAGTTCATTTTCTATGTATTTAATTACTTTTTCCTTTTTTATCATTTCACATCAGTTAAGGTGGCATACTGCTGTACAGATAGTGCTTGACTTGCAACCATTCGTTTAGTGATCATTGGAAGTTGCAACAGCACAGAAGAAAAGTGACTTATGATTGTTTTTCACGCCTACTTCTCTTGCAGCATCCCCATGGTCATGTGATCAAAATTCAGACACTTGGCAATTGGTTCATATTTATGACGGCTGCAGGGTCCCATGGTCATGTGATTACCTTTTGTGACCTTCTGACAAGCAAAGTCAATGGGGAAGCCAGATTCACTTACGAACTCTTACTAATTCAACAACTGTAGTGAATCACTTAACAACCGTGGCAAGGTCGTAAAATGGGACAAAACTCACTCAACAACTATCTTGCTTAGCAACAGAAATTTTGGGCTCAATTGTGTTCCTAAGTCGAGGACTACCTGTATACAACGTCAGTGTATATATGTGGGGGCTATAGGATGAATTAGTAGTAGGCAAACTAATATAATATTGATGTTTGGGCTTAGAATGTAGAAGCTGTATTTATGAGAAGAAGGTTCTGGGATAGCTTTCCTTTGTCTCTAGGTGAAACCTAAAAGCTGGGTACTGTTCTCATGCCACATGGCTCATGTCTTTCATGATCTCAGTGGAGGAGCCTCCCCATTGGGCTTTTGGACTCACATATGGCTGTCTGATTGCTTACAGTGATCAGAATGAATGATCTGCAGGCAAAACTAGTATCTGGTGGCTACAGTGGAGAGACCCACTCACCAAGATCATGAAAAACTATGTGTAGTGAAAAATTCTTCATATGGTACAAGCAGGATAACTTCCTCTATCAACCAGATGAGCAAGTTCCAAAGAAAAAGACCAGCTGCTACAAGGAAGATACTCTTAATCTTGCAACCAGATTGACCCAGTGAGGTCAGCTACAGTTGAACAAAGAGAAGGAGAGCAAGTACATAGACATTTCATAGATGATGCTTTGGGAGAGAAAGGTTAGCCATAAGCTCATCCCACAGTTCTTATCTACTTGAAGATCTCATTATTTTTGGTTTTGCTATTTGAATTCATGATTTGCTACTTTGTTCTTTGATGCCATAACAGAACCCAGCAAATAATGAGGTTACATTTGCAATGTAAAATCATCTTAGTATTATTTTTATCTGTTAGTTTTATAAATGTAAATGAGATGTTTTCTTTCATGTTCAAATTGGGGTGATGGTGGTAAAGAAAAATATACCGTATTTTCCGGCGTATAAGACGACTTTCTAAACCCTGAAAATCTTCTCAAAAGTCGGGGGTCGTCTTATACGCCCAGTCATCTTATACGCCGGAAAATATGGGTATTCTATTTTATTCCTTTACACATGTGGTTTGGCATATTACTCATCAAGTTTTCTCTCCCCCCCCCTCTCGCTCAAACTCTATATTTTAACTGGAAAAGTTGGGGGTCGTCTTATACGCCCAGTCATCTTATACGCCGGAAAATACGGTATTTCATGAGCTTGGTTGCTGATTTTAATTATGAGGCACTTCAAGCGCATTATTTGTATGCCTTCACAATTTAGAGTAATTTCCACTGTGCATAATATCTCTATGGTTTATTGTCCACAATCCCTTGCATTACTTTGATTTTCATGGCAACTCTTGCTTACATAGCTGTGCATATTTCTGTTGAATAGAGAGAAACCCAATATGAATTCTCAAAAAAAAAATTAGGCTCTAAAAATGTATATCTGGTCCACAGCTGAGCTACTTTGGGCTTCACTTGATTCAGGTTATGATAGATTGTATTTTCCAGTAGACGTGATCCCTTGTTCATGGCTTCCTTACAGAGTGAGTGATTAATTTGATAGTGGCCCTTAGTAGACTTTATTGCTGTCCTTTGATCTTTGACCAGAGCATTAAAAATGACCCAGGCCAGCTAGATTACTAATCTTTACTGTTCTCAGGTCTTTAACATCAAGGTTCATTTAAGATTCTCATTTTATTTTATTTGCATATTATTGTTTTGGCTTCCAATTCTCACCATTTCCCCCATTTTTTAAAGAACAAATGGATGTAGGGAAAAGTTTGATAGGGTTTCTGGTGTCTCTAGTTCTGGATCTTAAATCATGAGCTGAAGACTAGTGGTTTAGGCAAATGGCCAAAGAGAGAAACTTGTTTATGTTTATTATTGGCCTTGCAGTGTACTCTACTACACAGTGAGTTTAAAAAAGGCACTTTATAGGCCTTTAAAGAGAAGCTGGGACAATTTGAAATTAAGTAGTTAAGGGCAGAAAAGACTTTAAGCACCTGATTCCTTTGAAAATTCTTTCTTTAAAGGATAGCATGGTTGGCTACTTCTCTTTATCAGCATAGGCAATTTAAAACTACTCTTGTTACAAGAAGACTATTGGTGTAATCCCCAGTGTCTGATCTGTAAAAGTTATTCCGATGTTATTACTGCTCAATGGAATAAATCTGCCACCTTTTTCATGCTAGTTGCTGCACCTCTGACTGCCAATTCCATTCAAGGAAAAAAAAGTTTCTTAAGAGTTGAGCTTAATTCATAAAGTGTTCTCAGTAGAAACACATAGAGAATAAACATTCCATCTGAATATTATGCTGCTGTCATTTGAGGAAATATGTATATTTAGAACTCCAGAAAATCTATTATAGCGTCTTTGGTGCAAAAAATCATGCTATTTTATACTTTGACATCTACTGTTCAGCTGGATTAGGAAAAGTCTAGATGGGGAGTATGGGAGGGGAAGGGAGGTACACTGGATAATTACCAAAGCCAAAAATACCAAAAAGAAGTCAAGATGGGCTTCATTGATTATAGGAATGCCTGAGATTCTGTCAATCACATCAAGCTGTAGAATGTGCTCAGAAAAATGGGAATCCCAGAACATCTCATTGTCCTCATGAGAAACTTATATGCAGGCCAGGAAGCCACAGTACAGATATTTATTTATTTATTTGTTATTTAAATTTATATACCGCCCTATCTCCCTTACGGGACTCAGGGCGGTGAACAGGTAATAATAAAAATCACAGTAAATATTACATAAAAGCCTGCTCTAAAATATAAAACCCTTAACAAAACCCAATCAAAACTTAGATAGAGTATGCACAGTTTTAAAATTGGAGGAAGAAACATCAGTAATTTGTGCTATGTTAATGGCACTACCTTGCTAGCCAAAATGCAAAGAATCTGCAAGCTCTAGCAATAAAAGTAAAGGACTAAAGTGAAAAATGAGACTAAATTAAATCAGTGGCAGCAGGTGTGACAACCGGTTTTAGAATTGACAGTGGAGATATCAAAATAGTAGACTGCTTCTGTCTTTCAGAATCAATCATCAGGCATAAAGGAACAAGCAGTTAAATCTGGAACAACCTGCAGCTGAACATGCTTAAAATTGTAGAGATGTGAATGGATTTTAGGAGGAACCCTTCTATTGCCTCTTACTATATTCGACACATAGTATTAGCAGTAGTATCCTTCAAATTTGGGGGTTCTATAATATCTCAGGATTTGTAAATGGAAATCTAACACTAGAACCATCATCAAAAAGACACAACAAAGAATATTCTTCCTCGGTCAACTTAAGAAGTTCAGACTGCCCCAGGAGCTGTTGACACAGGAATTATTGAGTCTGTCATTTTTGTCCCAAAGGTGCTATTTTCACGAGACAACTGGACTTCCTTGTTTTTCTTTGAAGATGTTTCGCTTCTCATCCAAGAAGCTTCTTTAGCTCTGACTGGATGGTGGGGAATGGCAGGATTTATACTCCTTGCAGATAGCTGGTCATTTGTATTCTTTTAGCGGGTCATTGAAGCCCCTGGAGGCTTATCTGTGTTGTCAGGGTCCCCTGAGTAGTGCAAATGGGTGTGGAGCCTTCTTGGAACAGACCCTTCACATCCTGGACATAAACTGTTTCAACACCTCCCCTTGGGATCCCGCTGTAGGGCATTACATACCAAAACAGTTAAACATGGGGACAGTTTTTCCCCTTGTGCCATCACTCTGCTGAACACCTAATCCTCACAATACTGTCTTATGTCTAAGTATTATCACCCATGTTGTATGGCTATGGTATTATTATTATCCTTCTCATCTCCTCTACTACCCCCTCTTATTGGTATCATTATTATGATTATTATTACTCTGTTGTTTTGCACGTACACTGAGAGCTTCTGCATTGGAGACAAATTCCTTGTGTGTCTAATTACACTTGGCCAAATAAAATGTTCTGTTCTGTTCTGTTCCATTCTGTTCCAAATATATCACAGATTAGCACTTGATGGAACAGCTACAAAGGCCTTGGACAAGATATTCAAATGTCAGGATATATCTATACCTACAAATATCAGAATGGTAAAACTATAGTATGGATGAGAAAGTTGGACTTCAGTGGGATAGGAAGAGTATTAACAGACTCTTGAGAATATTGTGGACAGCCAAGAAAACAAATTGATGGATCATTGAACAAATCAACCCAGAGTTCTCATTTTAGGCACAAATGACAAAGGTTAAATTAGCCTTCTTTGCGTACACATGAAGGCCCAGCTCTCTGGAGAAGGCTCTGATGAAGGGAAAAGGAACAAGAAAAAGATGACCAGCAACAAATGTGAATGGACTCAGTTACAGTTCCAATGGGTGCATCAATGGAAGACCCAAAAGATCAATTTAGGGACAGGTCATCTTGGAGAACATCTATTTATTTGGTTACTAAGAGTCAAAAAGGACTTGATGGCATGTAATCAATCATCTACATAAATTCTAAAGTAGTATGCGATATGATTATATGCACTTCAATACAAATATTAAATACATGCTTATTTTGAAAACAGAAGGCACACATATAGAGTACCAGTGGGAAGAAACCCTTCTTCTTCTTCTTCTTGTGCCATATCCGTTATCGGACGTTGGCGATCATGTTGGCGATCCTGTTTTTATCAGCAGCCGCACGAAAAAGTGATGCTGAGTTTTGTCCAAACCAGTCCCTTAGCACTCAGCAGCACTGGGTTTTAAGAAACCCAGTCAGTTAAAATACTTCAGTAAAGCTCTTGTGGAGAGGGGAACTGGGGTGGATTTTTTAAAAATTGGTAATTATTTCATTTAACCAAACAGTGATCAAGAAAATATAAGATAATTGAATAAACTGATAAACTGGTATTCTCTGAAGACAAGGAATAAATATAGCTAACAGTTCTTCAAGTCCTAACAATCATTATCATGATATATTAAGATTTAGCCCAGGTGTGCTTTTAGAAAACACCTGCTGCATTGCTTTTAAGCAAAAATTGATTTAGCGAAAACAACAACAACAACGTGGAATAAAATATAGGAATTAAGCAGGAATAATAGTTGGATTGCAAATTGCCAAAGCTTCTGTGCATTTTCAAGGCATAGCTGAATAATCTTTCGCTGATCTGCTCAAATTGCACTGGTCAGAGCCCGAGTGAAAAAAACAGTGGTTAAATAATAAAATGACCATGTGGTAAACAGCGTTTGGATTTTTTTTGGAAGCTGCATATACCGAATATGAGTTTACTAAATATGAGATTAGGCTGAGTGACATCTCCCAGCCCTGTGGCTTTTAATTTGAAATAAGACTCTGCTTAACTTTTTTTTTAAACCAAGGAACAATATGTTGTATATAAATCTACACCCCTTGTCCTCTCTCTGTTTGGTAAATGGAAATGGATATTAACAGCAACTTTCTTTCATTGGGTTGTCATGGAATGAGCATAAAGGTTGTTTTAATTGTGACTTGAATAGCCTACTGTTTTCTGTTGTTTAGGTTATGCTGGCTGCTTCTTACTGGTCCCTTCTTGAACCTGCTATTGAACTAGCTGAGGACTCTGGGAAGTTTGGAGCCTTCGCCTTCCTCCCTGTAGCCATTGGCTTCACTCTGGGAGCAGCATTTGTATACCTCACTGACCTCCTCCTTCCATGGCTGGTGAGTAGCTCTCAAAATCTGGTTACCCAAGGCCAATTTATAGTTATTTTGGGTATGTTGGGAATTACTCTTGGCCTGCCCTGAGTGAAGCAGCTGGTACCAGGTAAGGTATATCTTTTTCAATCCAGCTTTCTTCTCAGAACCTTTGACGAGTTTGGGGAAGATAAAAGATGGAGCAATGTTTCTTTGGTGCTTTGTTCCTTTGATGCCTCACTGTGTGTTCTAAATCACAATTATTATAGGAAGGGTCCAGTACTTGAGTTGTACCATCATGACTATGAGATGGAACCTGTTTCCCTTTCCTCTTTTCCTGTCCATTGTGAAAGAATCCGCTTGCCATTCCAGATGTAACTCTCAAATGCTGTCTTTATCTTGGAAATGTTTTCTCAGCTCCTGGATGGATGGATGGATGGACCTTTAATTAGGCAGAGAAAGGCAGTTATTTTCAGGGATATCTTTTACAGAGCTGCAAATTGAAAGTCACAGGTAGTCCTCACTTATATCCATTCATTCAGTGACCATTCAGAGTTATGATAGGGCTGAAAAAATGGACATATGAATGATCCTCAAAGTTTTGGACATTGCAGCATCTCTGTGGCCATGTGAATATTATTCAGGTACTTGGGTGCCTGGCGTGCAGTTACAATGTTCCAGGAAGCCATGATGTGATTGCCATTTGTGACCTTCCCTGCTGGGTTCCCCACAAGCAAACTCAATGGGGAAGCCACAGGTAAGATCGCAAGTCATTCCAGTAAGTCACTTCCACTTTATGTCTCACCCATAGTACACCGCCATCCCACATACAGCTGCTGTTGATCTCCCCAGACCTTGACTCACATGCACTGGCCCTTCCAGATCCTTCCACGGTCTCCCCCCACAGCACTCCACACTCCTTACCTGGGGCCCCTGGGCTCTTTCTGCTTAACTACCCACAGGTCTTGGGATTATGATGGTAACTGGGACTGGTTGGGATTGAATTGGATTGAACTGAATACTTTATTTGGCCAAGTGTGATTAGACACAGAAGTAATTTGTCTCCGGTGCAGAGGTTCTCAGTGTATATGTAAAGTAACAGAATAATCATCATAATAAAAAAGTAAAGTAAAGGAGTAAAGAAGAAAAGGATAAATAATAATACTATAGTTATACTACATGGGTAAATACATATAGACATTAGATTAGATTACTATTGTTAAGTAATGCATTCATGTGATGTCACGGTTTATGACTACTTCTCTTAGCAATACCAATCCTGGTCTTAATTGTAACCTGACGACTACTTGCATGTGTTGATATTGGCTGTTAATTCAGTAGATACGGGTTCATACAGAACAAATATATACAGCTGTTTAAAGTCCTATACTTTTTTTTCAACAAAAATAATATTGTTTCAGGAAATGTACCAAGATTTCTGGGCAGATGTGCAAAAAGGATAATTCTGTACATAATACTCACATGTCTTGCTATAAGAGGACAATTTTTCTAGTATTTATGAACCACATCTGACATTTCCTCTTTTATCTAAATTTACCAAAGAAAATGTAGTTAAGTTCCTTTTCTATCTCCTTTCCTCCCTCCTCCTCTTTTTCAATCTCCCTCCTGATGAAGATCTAGTTAGCAGCTTGTTAATACTGCTTTTTCCATTAACTAAAATTGAAGTGAGGAAAAAATCCCTTTTAAGGTTTCTACAATGTGACTGAACTGCTAATGTCTTCTAAATTACCTAAGTAAGTCTGCAGTATTGAAGCCAAGGGGTAGGTTCAAAATGCCGAACTTCTGAGATATCCTTCTATCCCAATATTTAATGTGATACTTTATGTATTTTGTTTCATTGGGTCTCAAACATCCTAGTAGATATTTGGAAGATTATGTTGGTTTATAATCACAAGTTAGGATTTCATAATTTTCATAAGTAATTCATTTCAAGAAACATAACTGTAGGCAATTAACTTAGATCTAGAGATGCTCCTTCTGTGTCTTCTCCGAACATGCAGAGAACACCCTTTAGAAGAAAATTATCTTTAATATTGTAATACAATAAACAACCTTTTATTCAGGTTAACTACTAGGTTGCTGGTAACAAAGGAGACTTCTTGGCTTTGGTAGACTAAATTAACCACAGAATTAGACATTTTGATATGTTGTAGTTTGGCAATTTCATAGTTCAATTTCAGTTTTGATGTTCTTTGTTCCCTTTAGAATGGCTATGCTACAGTCATTTACAGAATGTTCTCTTAGTATGGAATGATTTCTCCCTTTGGTTATTCAATGCCGCCAGTCTTGATGTGAGAAATACATTTCTATATTATTTTGTACAGACATTGCCCAGTTTGTTTTATGTAAAGTACAGAAGGGCATTGCTGATGGGCATTGGGTGACTGCCCTCTGCCAGGAGTTCGATTCTGACCGGCTCAAGATTGACTCAGCCTTCCATCCTTCTGAGGTCATTAAAATGAGGACCCAGATTGTTGGGGACAATATGCTGATTCTGTAAACCGCTTAGAGCGGGCTGTAAAGCACTATGAAGCGGTATATAAGTCTAAGTGCTATTATTTATTTATTGGAAAATAAATAAGTGAATGAATGAATGTTGTCAAAGTCTGTTTAATGAACAAGTGGTTGGTAATTGAGGACTACCTATAGTGCTTATTTACCAACTGTTTATTAGGACTGACAACTTTGTTGCTAAGTGGTGCAGTTGTTATGTGTGACATCATGAGACTGTGACAAGTTATGTCAGTACTGGCTATAATAGTTAAGCAGTTTAGCATAGATCACAAAGAATGGCATCATGTTAGTGCGACTTGGAACTTCTTGCAGTTTTCTCCATTGATTTTGCTTGTCAGAAGCTGACTGAATATTGCAAATGATGATTATGTGACTGCAATTATCATTAAATGCATGCTGGTTGCCAGGTACTAAAATCATTATCAGATGACCGTGGGGATGCTGCAATGTCTGCAACCTCAAGGACCACTTGTAAGTCCCATTTTTCAATGCTATCGTAAGTTTGAATGCTCACTGAACTGGAGCTAGGTAAGCGAGAACTACCTATTGCTACTCCAAGTATCTATTTGTTGTTTCTTAATTCTTTTTTCATCTACTGATCCTTCTAGCAGGGCTAGCTAGGTTTTGTGTATGAATATATGACCCACTTATCTCAGATTTGGTTGGTTTGATGATCTTCATGATCTATCTTTCTTCTTGTACCATCTCTAGGATTTCAGATTGATCTTTTGTCACTTGAAGAGATTCTCAAGATTTTCCTCAAAGCTGCATTTAAAAAAACCTTTCAGTCTGTTCTCAGTCTCCTTTAGTACTTTCCATGTTTTGCAGTTTAAAGGAGAGATGACCAAATATGCTATTGATTATAATCTGTTTCTCACAATATTTCAAATATGGTATTTGGTTATTCTTACATTTTAAATCCATTTCCCTTGAGGTCAGAATATACTTCATGTCTAAAAAACTTTCCTAATCATTTCTATTTTCCTCTTTATTTCCCCATGTTCCACTCTAAACAAAGTATCTGGACAAAATACCTTTCTTGCTGCAGAAGGGCATTATTGACTATATTTCTAAGGCTCTTTTTTGGTGAAGCTGCATTCATCTTGGTTTCTTTTTTGTATTAAAATATAACTTGTACTTTTCATTTCTTCTTTTTTTCTCAATTAGGAGGTTCAGGTTCTGTACAGAATTAGCCACATATCTTAAATTGTTTTCATACTACCTACCTTTAATTCCAGAAGTATTGAAGGTCCTGATGTAGTATTTAGTTCATCAAATATTTCTTCAGTACAGACACAGAAAAGGAGAGGTGAAAGGACATAATTCTAGTTAACTTTTTGATTAAAAACTTCTTTGAAAAAGCTCTTTCAGTCTTAAAAGAAATTTGATCTCAATATAGATTCACTATCATTCTAATACCTTTGGCATCCATTCCAATTCCCTTCCAAGATTGTGATCAATATTTCATGTTTTATAGAATCAAAGGCTTCTGAGTAATTGACAAAGCATGAAAATGGGTCTTTTTTGTTTTTCTCAATGAAAGAAAAAGTCTTGATTATTTTTTCAGACTGAGCATTTTTCCCTAGTTAGTACCACTATCTTTAATAAAGGCACATTAAAGCTTATCACATTGTTCTGTTTTTCTTGAATTTGTTAAGAAAAGACTTTTAATACAATTTTTGCTGCCTGACTGATAAGACTAATGACTCTGTATTCAGACCATTCTATAATTCCTGTTTATTTAACAATGGGAAAAAAAGTTGAATGCTTAAATTCTTTTGGCAGGTCACCTGTTTCATATATCTGATTTCAGATTTTGGTTAGAATGCTTATTCCCTTTTCCCTAGGGATTGTAAGATTTCAAATGATTTTATCTATGCCTAACATCTTCCTGTTTTTTAGACTTCTGTTATTGCTTACTTTATATTCTAATACAGCTGTCTATTAAAATTTTAAATTTTCACCCTGCATACATAGAATAATTTTTGCCTCTTCATGTGTTATATTTTTGCATATTAAAACCATCAGGAAGTCACAAAGAATTCCAGAACAATATTTGGGATCTGCAAGCCACTCAGGTTGGCTAAATCAATATTCATGAATCCACCAATAGTAAAACATTTTATAAAAGTGCTGATAGACAAAAGCCTGCCTCAAGTTTTCCAAAAAGTACTTGGATTATTCTTTGCTTTATGGACCAGTAAATCAAAAATATGTATCACCATGTTTGGCAGAAGCTAAACATTGCATTCCATAAAAAGAACCGCATATTGGCCATCAAGCATTAAAGGGATGATGTCATGGTTCGGGGTTGCTTTGCAGAATGACATACCATCTTTGAAGGAAGCCACCTGGCAGGTGGTACGCGACCTAAACAAGTGTAGTGGAGGGGATGAGCTGAAGTGGCGCCAGCGCCAGAGAGGCTTGGGGGAGAGTCAGCTGGAGCTGCAGTGTTGCCTGGGTTCTGCTGAGGGCAGTGAGAAGAAAGAGAG